AGAAGCTTTCATATTTTCCAGGCAACTCATTCAAACTATTTAAAATAAATGAGAAAGGCTTCATTTTTTAAAGACCTTTTTTTTTTTTCCCCCAGGTACCTTTTTGTCTGCATTCATAGAAGTGCAGCACAGATGTGAACTCAAATGACCGGCTGTTAAAATAGCAGAAGTCAAACAGGAACTGTAGGAGCCACTGTTGTTGGAACAGCTTTTCCATTTGAAATGGTGCAAAGAGGAAAACTGAACACCACATTTCCTTCTGTTTGAAACAGCTAATTTGTTAAGATTGATCAAAGATACAGGCTGCACATGGGCCACTTGTGAATAAAAGATACCAAAAATCTTTTTGTTTGTAAAATAACTTCACAAATGATGAAGAGGCAGAAGCTAGTAGCTTCAGGAATTCGCTAAGATCTGCTGATACTTTTGGACTCTTCCTGTTAACAGCTAAAGAGTGAGATGCTTAGCACCAGACAGGATTAAGCTCTCAGCTCTTACTTCAATGTGTTGTAAAGTCACAATATTAATTCACAAATCATTATTACCAGCCTACCAATACCTCCATAATTTCTGTGGGTGAGACATTCTTTTTATCTTTGTTTTTCCAGAATGTAAAATGACATATTTTGTTAGAACTTTAAAAGTAGTTATTTTTCTTTTATCTTGTGTTCCTTTCCCTGAAAGTTTTTGGAACTATCTTTCTCCTAAATTATCGGATGACTGTACAAGGCTCACAGGATGAGTATAGGATGAGGAAATAAGAAATCTATATATTCTATCCTTCATAGAAGAAATCAATGTTGTCAAGATGTTAAGTTAATAAATAAAATGAAAGAGTGTAAATTATGAATAATTTATGTTTGCTGCTGTTGATAGTTGCCAGTGTCTATCTTTTTATCTCCCTTCTGTATCTCAAAGGGACAGAAGAAACATTTCATGAAAGTTACACTTTGCTGTGAAAATATGGTTTCTTCTACTTTGTTCTTGCATTTTGGGCCAAATCCTGTATCTTAACTTAAGCTAAGGAAATGGTTGTAGATCACAGAATCATAGAATGGTTTGAGTTGGAAAGGATCTTAAAGATCATTGATTTCCAACCCCCTGCCATGGGCAGGGACACCTCCCACCAGACCAGGTTGCTCCAAGCCCCATCCAGCCTGTCTTGAACACTTCAGGGATGGGGCAGCCACAACTTCTCTGGGCAACCTGTTCCAGTGCCTCACCACCCTCACAGTAAAGAATTTCTTCCTGATATCTAATCTAAATCTCCCCTCCTCTAGTTTGAAACCATTACTCTTCATCTTATCGCTTACATGCCCTGTAAAAAGTCCCTCTGCAATTTTCCTGCAGCCCCTTTAGATACTGGAAGGGGCTATAAGGTCTTCCTGGAGCCTTGTCTTCTCCAGGCTGAAGAACCCCATCTCTCTAGGCCTGTCTTCATAGGAGATCCTGTGCTAAGATGTTAATATCAGATGGGACCAATGACACTATTTCTCTTCTGCTCCCCATGGATGAGGACAGCATTGCTTTTTCTTTGGCTGTTTTTATTTTTCATTTATACTTTTGTTCCACTGCATGCAGGCCAGAGTGTGGCCAGCATTTCTGGTGCTGTACACATCCAGTGGGCAAATCCCATCAGAGCACACTGCTTCAAAATGCACTTTGCTGGAGGGGTGATGAAGGGTTTGGTGTCAGACTGTAAGGCTTTACTGGGTGACGTTCCATGCCTGCAGCAGAATGCAATTTATGTATTGTCAGTAATGAAATGGATGATGAAAATAGATTTGCCTGTTAAAAGTGCAGATGTGGCCAAGCTTTTCCCATTCTGAAAAGCAGGATCAAAATTCAGAGTGGTCTTGATAAATTGGAGAAATGCACAGAAGATCAATGGTGCAATTTAATAATGATGAGTAGGAAGCCAAACCTTAGGAAGTCGTAAACAATGTCACAGGTATAATATGGAGAATGATGGAGCGGGCAACAGTTTTGTGCTAAAGATTGCAACACTGCAGACAAGCTTGGGAAAACACACGTCAGGAACAGCTGGTCCAAGCAGCATGATCTGAGGTTGAGAAAACATACCCTTTTGATGAAAGACTGAAAGCACACGGATATTTCCCCCCTCTCCCCAAAAACTAAGATTAAAAAGAAATAAGTTAACATGTTTCAATCAAAACAAACTGTCTGAAGAGAGGAAGATAAAATCAGATTTTTGTGTCCTCTGAGGACAGAGCAGATATATTTCAGGGAGGGGGATAAGCAACCTTGCCATCTTTAAGGATATTTAAATACTGGAATAGACTGCTTATATAGTAGATTTTTTATCACTGGCTGTTTCTACAAACCTCTTTGTCAGGGGTGACAGGATGTGTAGTGACAGGACAAGGGGTAACGGTTTAAAATTGGAAGAGGGGAGATTTAGATTAGATACCAGAAAGAAATTCTTTCCTGTGAGGGTGTTGGGGCCCTGGCCCAGGTTGCCCAGAGAAGCTGTGGATGCCCCATTCCTAGAGGGGTTCAAGGTCAGGCTGGATGGGGCTTGGAGCAACCTGGTCTGGTGGGAGGTGTCCCTGCCCAGGGCAGGGGGTTGGAACTCGATGATCTTTAAGGTCCCTTCCAACCCAAACCATTCTATGATACTACGCTATTAAATAGTAATCTGATGGTGAATAGTGCGAGCATTCTATGAGGCGAAGGACAGATGAACAAATTAAGCCTTAGTTCTAACAATGAACTGTTTGCTCCTACTCCTAGGGTGGGAGGAAAGGACCTGGGGACTGTTGAATCCCATTTTCTGCTGAGAAGACTTCAGAAGGAATGGGAGGAAAGGAGCATAATCTCTTAATAAGTCAAGGGGTATGTGTTTAGATGATGTCTTGAGATCCTTTCCAGTCCCACCTCCTACAAAGTTCTGCCAAGGTAAACTGACATTTCTGGAATGTCAGACATTGGACTTTTGATTCAAAGACTGAGGTCTAGACTTGTATCGAGTGATCCTGTTTGTTTATTTCATACAAATTTAAATTCAGAAGTTATAACTTCTAATTTCCAGCTAAGTGTATTTGATCTCACTCTGCTTTTAATTGCTTTTGATTTGTTAAAGAATCTTAATAAGATGCATCTATTTTATTCTTAGGGATGTTAATTAATATGGGAAGTGAGATGTTTTAATAAGACAATGATTAAGAGTTTTCCATTGTTCCTAATGGACTATGCACATAACAGCTAACAATTCAGATGATGATGAAAGCAAAAAGAATTTAATTGCTTTGGCAAATGTTATAAGCAAGTGCAGATTGGAACAGTGCTGTTAAGTGAGAGTGCATTTTCTTTTAGATCTGCTTGCAATTGTTACTGTGTTTCTCACCAGAGATTTGAACACGTTTGTTCCCTTTTTCAGTAAAATGAATGCAACAATTCACTAATGGAAGTTTGGCTTGGAGAAGACACTTCTTTCACAGTAGATCTTTTGCTTTTAAATGCCAGGGATTTAAAATGGGATGTGTACATAGTACTGAAGTGACTATCTGTCATTTATATTGAATGCATTTACGGTATGTCTGCAAAAGGTGAGTTATTTGTTTCCAATTTTTATCTGAGAACCAATTATACTAGACACATCCATAATCATTGGTGTCAGGACCTTCTCAGTTGGATGGCTAAAATAACTGATTTTGTTTTCCCTATCTAAAATCCTTTAGAATTTGATGGGGAAAACTCTCAGTGTAGGATAAAACCATAGTGAACTGCCATTTGGCTTTTAAGAGTGGGACTTGACAGTGTCATCTTTGAATAATCTTACAAAGGTATCAGTCTATGCTGACACACAGATACAGTTATGTACATATTTAACACAGTAATTTAGTACACCTTCCCCAAATAAATGGATGTACATTTGATCAATCATTTTAAATAAGTGAAATTTAAGAGATGCAGTTGTCTAAACCCCTTATCAATAGGTCTACCTGTACTCATACAACAATATCAACACATATCAAAAGCTTTCTCATTACTTCAAAAACTGAATTGAATTGACCTATATGAAGAGTATTATTTTTTTCTGAAGAATTTTTGTTTATTCTAAGAAAAATAAGTGCAAATAGGAACATTTATGACCCTGAACACAGATGTTAAAAGCACCAGATTTGAGACATACATTATCAGACATATCAGCCACCTGGCATTTTTATTAAGATATCTTTTATTTCAGCCAGACATAATCCCACTAAGATATTTAATAAATAATTCACATTTTTTCAGCTTGCTTAATGTTTCTCTTAAGAAATGCATATGCTGAAATCTCTTTCTTAACAGATGAGCAGGTATTTGCAGTATAAAAGTGTTAGGTAGTTTAAAGGAAAGGTATAGTCAATAATGTCCTAAATAAGAAGAGGAAAGTTAAATGCTTCCAGGTAAATCAATCAGCAAACCTAGACTTTCTCTACACCTCTCATTAAACATTTGCAAAGGAAGTTGTGAAACTTTTTATGTTTTGTATTCATTTAATAGTGTAATAAAAAATAATCTTTCCATTGGATATTTGAAACCCTAGTGATTCATTTCCAGGAAAAAAACAATTCAAAATGGCTAGGTAATGAGGTACACTAAAGATGTGCTTCACAGAAGATTACAGAAAATAGTGCATACTTATGAAAATATGCACTGAGACACTGTTTCTGAATATACAAATAAACTGCTATTTATATACCTTCTCCTCTAGAGTTAAAGGAAGAAATAATTCCAATAAATGGAGAACCGTAAAGTTTTATGTCCCATATTTAATACCGTTAAATCAGGTGCATTGCCCTGATAGGTATGATATTACTGCACTGTGAATGTCATTGTGTTATATGACTCTTTTTTATTCACCTTGACTTTCATCTGTGGAATCCTATGCATATGGAACCACATAAAACAGTTATAACCTGCTGGCTTCCAGCACTGGAGTTACTACAGATGTAGACCTCTGTAAATGCAACCAAAATATCAACTTGCTTTACCTTATCCTTCTTTTGTTTTTCATCTTGGTATATGATCCAGTGCTCCCCATCATTACTGTAAGCAAGCTTGTAGGACCCAACAAATTGGACGTGACCAAAATCTTTGGCTCCTTGGGTAATTATGCCAGTGATTTTTGTAGGAGCAAGGAGGTCAACCTAAACAAAACAGGAATAAAACAAAACACAGGAGAATGTAATTAGAACAGTTTCTGTTTGCGATCTGACTTTCCACCACACCAAAGTGAAATGTGACATTGTTTGCTGTCAGTTCTTGGATGCAGGCAGGAAAACCCAGGGTTTTTGAAGAAGCCCCTTAGTGCATGGTGAGAGAGGACACAGCCCCAGAGCTGGCGTTGCACTGCTTTGCAACCGTGCCCACCATATGCTGGCACCATAGGCAGTACCTTCCCTTCTCTAAGTTTCAAGTCAATTTACTTTTGTTTTCTGCTTTTTACTTATTGTTTATGCCAACTAATAACATAACAGGACTTATCTCATACCGCTTTCCATTGTGCTAGATTTCATACACGGTCCCAACAACACAGCAGTCTCCACTGCAAATAATTTGTAGGCAAAAAGTCCTCCCATGTGCTCCTAATAATCAGAATACAATACACCAGAGGTTGATTCCCCAAGTGCCTTTCCATTTCCTTTGCAGTAACAGTATCTGTGCTTTGCTGAGTCTTTTAAAACATTTGTGGTCACACTTCTTTTCCTGCTGAACTTTTCTTCTCTCTTTAAGCCTGTATTTCTTTTTCTACCTGTAAGGCTCTGACTTTTTCATTCCTTGATTTTTTGGAGTTATTTTATAATCTTAGCACAAGACTGTTAAAAATGCAGGGCAGGAATCTTAGAGCCTAATAAAATCTGAGCTTTCAAGTGGCTTTCACATGGGTCAGCACATCTGTGATCAGTTCTTTTGAACCAGAATCCCACACTGAATATAACAGATTCAGGCCAGATGCCTTGGATTAAAATGATCAAGGAACAGAATACAATAACAGAAGTAAATTGACCTAATAACATATTTTTAGAGGAAGAATGGAGGAGTTGAATTCCCTATCAAAATTGACATTTTCTTGAAATGTGAGGGTGAAACTGAGACTTCATTCTGTGTCCTCCAGCAATGCGGCAAGCCAGAAAAAAAAAGAAAAAAGGTAGATTTATTTCAAACAATAAATGGCTGTGAAGCAGTCGGCATTTTTAATATTGTCCGTTAAATCAGGCAAGAGAGACTAATAGTAAAAATATTACAATAAAATGAGAGAAGTGCTGAACTCCATGAGAAGATGACTGATATGTTTTACAGCAAAAAATTAAAAGAAGAAAGTGAAGAAATAAAGAATCTCTAGCTGATCAAATGCTGAAGAACCAGTCTTGTGATTTTGGGAAGCTAAGGCCCCCTGAGCAACTAGATTTTGACTGGAATGTGGGCAAGGCAGAAGACCAGATGTGATACAAAGCATAAGAAATTAATCATGAGAAGAGAAGGTAAAATAAACAAGCAGAGGCCAGTTATTCCAAGCCAGTGCCTTTGAAATACAGACAATACAGTTTGGACTCTATAAAGAAGAAAAAACAGAAAAGTGTAACAGTACATTTGTAAGAAAAGAAAAGGAAAAATCACTCATTAGAGCAATCAGACAAGGAAGACTGGAGACCCCTGCCCCAACATTTGAAGACAGGTAGCAAATAATGAGTAACAAATCCTGTTAAGTAAAAGAATAACCTTAAAGGTTCAATACTGAAATACTAGGGCAGTAAGTGGAAAATGTCATTGTCTGCACATGGTCCAAGAGTTTTGATTCTACTAGAATGAATCAATTTATTGCCATCAGATAGCTGCAATGTTGCTCAGAGGAGGATCCCAGAATATGAGGGAAGTATACTTGGGAGGCCAAATGCTTTTTGTTTTCTCTTTGGTCAATGGAGAGAGAGGGGATCTCAACCAATGATCATTCAGAGCAGGAGTCCGCTTTGGATGCTCTCATGGACTGCTTGAAGGGACTTTCTTCTGTAAGGAGTATAGGTGGGCTTGCATCCATAGCCTAAGTAGGCCTTTGGGAAATGAACACTGCTAATTAGTCTTTCACGAATTAATATACACCAGGTCTCTAGACCTTGCTTCCAAATATTTTGGAGTCTAAATGGATAGTCTGTTTTTCAAAAAGGCTGTTCTGGTAGGGAATCACTAGTTGCTACACACTTCCAGGCAGCATTTGAACTAAACATTTCAGAGTCAACTTTACATTCTCTTTATAAATAATTTTAACATTATCATTTTCAAGTGTAACATCTACTTAGCAGAGAATGCTTCTTATACTAAAAGTTGATGTCTCTTCTGTTAACTTGAAAAAATACCTCCATTAAAAAGTTGTTTATTTTTAAAATGTTGAAAGTAAGCTAAAAGGTTTTCACAAATATTTAACATGGCCATGACACTCAAGAGTATTACTCACTGAAATCCAGATCTGGGAGAAAAAATTCTCATTAAGATTCAAGGGATTTCAAAGGTAAAATCACAATAAATATTAACACACGGATCTGGTGTTAATAAAAATGTCCTAGTAACAATTGTTTTGTGCTTATAGGACACATCCAGTGGCCTTCTACTCTTGCTCAGAAAGATGATGTGGGAAGCTGAAAGGTAATTTGGTGTAGGTTCAGTCTTTTTGTGAAAGACTTGCATGGCAGTATGTAGAATATGTGTGTGTTTGTGTGTGTGTTGGAAAAAAAGGAAGTAATGAATAAAAGTACTCTTTTCTAGGTTTTGACAATAGAGGCAATACATATTGCTGGAGATGGAGGAAAGGAATAAAAGGATATAACATCAGTGTCTCCATCTCATACTTTAGTATCTTATTTACTTATTTATTAATAAGCTGATGAGAAGCCTACAGGAAATAAAGATTGCTCTTAACCTAGCATTAAAGAACTATAGCTTTTAGTCAGTTGCTTTATTACCTTCTGCAAAGGGTTAACACCCTTGCTCTCCACTCCTCCCATTGGAAGTACTTTAGAACAAAAAGGTGAGAAGAATTTACCCCAATTTCTAGGCAAAACATCTGCATTAAAATAGCTTAAATGTAAGTCATAACTTCCCATCGGGATGCAGAACACATTTATTCAGTTAGTGCAGATTGCAAGTTACAGGCAATCAAACAAATTACGAGGGAGAGAAGTTGAATTAACACACAACCACTATGTACTCTTCAAAGCTGAATGTGATTAACAGGATCAGAATGTGACTTTGGCTTTTTCAATGCAGCAGAATTTAGAATGAGGTAGAGGCAATTAGTCTGCGACTGATAGGATCATTAGCTGGTTACAAGAAGAACCATGGTTTACAGTTTAATGTACATTTCTACAAGCAGCTGATCAAAAAGCCATTTAACATCTTGTGTCTGAAAGAACTCTCCTGGGCTATAGCTGCTCCCTTTGCACGTATCTGTTTCCCACCTTTCTTCAGATGTTAAAGACGATTCAGTGTGATTTGGAGGAGAATTAATTTAAGAAAAGCACAAAGACAAATCCACCTGAATAGGATTCATTTTTAATGAACCACTGCATGGATGTGTCAGTGTGCAGTTAAACGTGGCGTGACTGGTACTTGTACTGTACCTAGGTCTTCTTGATCAGGAGAAAACTGTCACATGCCTGCCCTGTCCTTGCTCTGACTAGTCCAGAGCTAACAAACCTCAGCTCTCAGCATCTGACTATGCAGATGTGCCCAGTCTTTGTATAGTCACCTCTGTACCTGAACTCCTTTAGAACTGCACCTCAGAGACACAGAGACCTTCTACCTAGCAACATTCACTTCTCCTAAGAGCAGGAACATAAGCATGAGACACTTCTAGGCATCTGGGACAGCTGCCCATACCAGTTTGGATCTGCAAGCAGTATAACTGCATTTACATGCACTGTGCTCGACCACAGCTATACAGTTTCTGGACTCAGGATTGTCCTCATGGCGATCTCCTCAGAACCTAGTGGCTTGGTTCTCTATTACATCAGGAAGCTCAGTACAAATGGAGTAGATGTGCCATGAAACATCAACCATAGCTTTCTCAATATCCCCTCCCCACTCCCAATACACCTTTTCCTTCTTCTACATACTTGGTGGAAACAAAACAAGTCCCAGGCATTTGCTGGGACTATTAAGGAGGCAGGACAGCACACAAATGGTAAGTCATGTGTGGTTGGGACTCAGAAGATGAAGTTGGTAGCTTTCATGAGATCACATGTGGAAGATGAGTGATCACACAGCTCCAGTAGTCTCTCCAGGAACAGAAACACACACAGCAACTCTGGGTTATGAGACGACAAGCCTCGAGAAGACAAGCCTCAAGAAGACACAAATTGCAGAAGTCTCTAGCACCTCAGACATTAACAGAGGAGATGGATGGCCCTACATGGCAACTGGCTCTGGGTGGTCTTGCTTGACTTGGGGCGGGACGCTGGACCAAGATGACTCCCAGAGGTTTCTTTCCAACCTCAACCACTCTGTGGTTCTCTGATACCTAGCGAAATCCAGCCACACTGCCCAAAGCCTTGGGAGACCAATAAGCACACATAGTCTGTGTTTATACTAACAAGAAGCACAGTGCAATGGACACAGATCCATGAAGCAAAGCGGCCGATGTGGAGAAAAGGATGTCTACACAGAGTGTGATGCAAGGATTTTACTTCCAGCTAGTCTGGACCAACTTTTGAAGCACGTATTTTGGCTTAATTTCATCTGAAAGGAACCCATTTCATGCTCTGTAAGGATACTCCATCATGTGAACCGAAGCATGAAAAGTGAAGACACTCTTTAAAAATAACATACTCCTTATCTACACTATAATATTAAAGGAAAAGAAAGAACCCTCGGAATTCAGGGGGCACCGGGACCAGTTTTGCAATGAAGATAATGGTAAGACGGCTCACTTGACCTTCAGCTGTACATCTCTTCATCTCAGGACATACAATCTCGCCTTCAATTCAAAGACCCAAAGGAGAGAGATGGGGTGGAAGAGGGTTAAGGTTAGTTCAATAATGCTTTTTAGTAGCTATTTAAAATGTTCAGATATGATGTTGCTGCTCCCAGTGTAGCTAATCCTACCTCCAGCTTTTTTTGTAATTCTAGAGATGTCATTTTTCTGCCAGGTTTTCTT